GAGATAAAGGCTCTAAACCCCATCTACCTTTGGGATATCCTTTCTCACAGGTGTTTTTCCCCTCCCTGGAGCACTACAAACACCATTGAGAAAAAAGGGTTTTCTTTAGGATTTTGCCTTTAAACTCCAAATTTAGTGGGAGATAAAGGCTCTAAACCCCACCTACTCTTGAGATGTCTTCTCTGACCTCTCTTTTTCCCTCCCCACAGCACTACAAACACCATTAGGAAAAAGGGTTTTCCTTATGATTTTGCCTTCAAGCCCCAAATTTAGTGGTATCTAACTGCCCTAAACCGCATTTACTTTTGGGATATCTTTTCTCACATCTCTTTTTCCCCTCCCTGGAGCACTACAGACACCATTGAGAAAAAAGGGTTTTCTTTAGGATTTTGCCTTTAAACTCCAAATTTAGTGGGAGATAAAGGCTCTAAACCCCGCCTACTTTCAGGAAGTCCTTTCTCACAGCCGATTTTCTTTTCCCAGAGCACTAGAGACACCATTGAAACAAAAGGGTTTTCCTTAGGATTTTGCCTTGAAACTCCAAATTTAGTGGGAGATAAAGGCTCTAAACCCCATCTACCTTTGGGATATCCTTTCTCACAGGTGTTTTTCCCTCCCCAGAGCACTACAGACACCACTGGTTCCCCGAGAAGCCCTCCAAAGGGCTTTGTTTAGGATTTCACCTTCAAACACCAAATTTAGTGGTACCCAAGTGCCCTAAGCCCCACCTACCTGTAGGATACTCTTTTCTCACATCTCTGTAGTGCTCTGGGGAGGGAAAAAGACACCACTGAGAAGAAGGGGTTTTCTTTAGGATTTCACCTTCAAACCCCAAATATAGTGGTACCCAAGTGCCCTCACCCCCATTTACTTTTGGGATGTCCTTTCTCACATCTCTTTTTCCCTCCCCAGAGCACTACAAACACCATTGAGAAAAAAAGGTTTTCTTTAGGATTTGGCCTTCAAACCCCAAATTTAGTGGTATCTAAGTGCCCTAAACCCCATCTACCTTTGGGATATTTTTTCTCACAGCCGTTTTTCCCTCCCCACAGCACTACAAACACCATTGAGAAAAAAGGGTTTTCTTTAGGATTTTGCCTTTAAACCACAAATTTAGTTACAGCTAAAGGCTCTAAACCCCATCTACCTTTGGGATATCCTTTCTCACAGCTGTTTTTCCCTCCCCGGAGCACTACAGACACCACTGGTTCCCCGAGAAGCCCTCCAAAGGGCTTTGTTTAGAATTTCACCTTTAAGCCCTGAATTTAAGCCCTACCTACTTTTGGGATATCCTTTCTCACATCTCTTCAAAAGGGTTTTCCTTAGGATTTGGCCTTCAAACACCAAATTTAGTGGTATCTAAACCCCATCTACCTTTGGGATATCCTTTCTCACAGCCGATTTTCTTTTCCCAGAGCACTACAAACACCATTGAGAAAAAAGGGTTTTCTTTAGGATTTGGCCTTCAAACCCCAAATTTAGTGGTACCCAGCGCCCTAACCCCCATTTACTTTTGGGATATCCTTTCTCACCTCTCTTTTTCCCTCCCCGGAGCACTACAAACACCATTGAGAAAAAAGGGTTTTCTTTAGGATTTCACCTTCAAACCCCAAATTTAGTGGTATCTAAACCCCATCTACCTTTGGGATATCCTTTCTCACAGGTGTTTTTCCCTCCCCAGAGCACTACAAACACTATTGAGAAAAAAGGGTTTTCTTTAGGATTTGGCCTTTAACCACAAATTTAGTTACAGCTAAAGGCTCTAAACCCCATCTACCTTTGGGATATCCTTTCTGACATCTCTTCAAAAGGGTTTTCCTTAGGATTTNTATTTTTTATTTTTTATTTTTTATTTTTTTATTTTTTTATTTTTTTTATTTTTTTATTTTTTATTTTTATTTTTTATTTTTTATTTTTTTTTATTTTTTATTTTTTTTATTTTTATTTTTTATTTTTTATTTTTTATTTTTTATTTTTTATTTTTTATTTTTTATTTTTTATTTTTTATTTTTTATTTTTATTTTTTATTTTTTTATTTTTTATTTAAAATAAACTTCAAAACCAACCAGATTTGGGTCCAACCCACTTCAAGCTGTGAATTTTGAGAAAATGTCTTTGAGGGGGTTGCTGTCATTAATAATAACAATAATAATAATAATAATAATAATAATAATATATTATTATTATATATTATATATTATATATTACATATATATTATATATATATAATATTATATTATATATTACATATATATATTATATATATATATAATATTATATTATATATTATATATTATATTATATATTATACATTATTATATATATTAAATATATAATTATATTATTATAATAATTATATTAGTATAATTATTATTATATTATTATAATTATTATATAATTTAACAATAATAATAATTTTTATTATTATTATTATTATTATTATTATTATTATTATTATTATTATTATTATTATTATTATTATTATTATATTTTAATTTTTATTTTTAAACGACTGTTGAACAGGACCTGCTTCTTGTTTCTTTGGGGTTTTTTGGTTTATTTCTTTTTTTTTTGTGGGTTTTTAATTTGGTTTTATTTTGGGTTTTTTGGTTTGTTTTTTTTTTGTTTTTGAGGGGGTTTTGTTTTATTTTGGATTTTTTGTTGCAGGGTATTTTATTTTTTGGGGGGGTTTATTTAGGTTTTTTTTTGTGTTTTTGTGGGTTGTAATTTTGGGGTTTTTGTTGTTTTTGGGGTTTTTTTTTTTTGATTTGGGCTTTTTGTTTTTGGGGCTCTTTGGGTTTTTTATTTTACTTTTTGGGGATTTTTTAATTTTATTTTTGAGGGTTTTAAAATTTTGTTTTGGATTTTTTGTTGCTTGGGTATTTTTTGTTTGGGGTTTATTTTGGGGTTTTTGTGTTTTTGTGGGTTGTAATTTTGGGGTTTTTTTTTTGGGGGTTATTTTTGTTTGTTTTGGCTTTCTTTGGGTTTTTTTATTTTGTTAATGATGGAATTTTATTTTGTTTCATTTTTGTAGCTAGGGGTTTTTTATTTTTTGTTCAGTTTTTTTTTCAGGGGGTTATTTTGGGGGTTTTGTTGATTTTAATCAATGTTGATTTTTGGGTTTTTTTTGGTATTTTTNAAAAAATCCGTTTTTCGTAGCTGTGTGTCAGCAGGGAAAGGGGAAATCCTTCAGTCCAGGCTGCCTTAGAAGGAAAGGTGTGAGACAGACCCGAGGAGGGAGGTTTGGCCTGAAAATATTCAGGGAGAGGGGAGAAAATTTAGTCCTTTACCCCACCACTGCTGTGTCCTGATTGCTTTTAACCTGAAATATTCAGGGAGAGGGGAGAAATTTTGGTCCTGCGCATTCCTTCTGTGTCCTGATTGGTTTTATGGCCTTAAAAATTCTGGGAGATGGGAGAAATTTTGCTCCCTTATCCCACCACTGCTGTGTCCTGATTGTTTTTAACCTGAAATATTCAGGGAGAAATTTTGGTCCTGCGCATTCCTGCTGTGTCCTGATTGGTTTTTTTTGCCTGAAACAGGAGGTGCCATCTCCCAGGCTTGGTTTTCTCCATCCTTGAGAATAAATTTTCCACAAATTTTCCCCCATTTTCCCTGGATCTCTGTGTGTGTGTGTGTGTCAGTGGCAGTGCCAAGGACTTGGCGTGTCCCTTATCCCACCAGTTCTTTGTCCTGATTGTTTCTGGCCTGAAAATTTCAGGGAATTGGGAAGAATTTTGGTCCTGCACAATCCTTCTGTGTCCTGATTGGTTTTATGGCCTTAAAAATTCTGGGAGATGGGAGAAATTTTGATCCCTTATCCCACCATTTCTTTGTCTTGATTGTTTTTAACCTGAAATATTCAGGGAGAAATTTTGGTCCTGCACATTCCTGCTGTGTTCTGATTGGGTTTTTTTGCCTGAAACAGGAGGTGCCATCTCCCAGGCTTGGTTTTCTCCATCCTTGAGAATAAATTTCCCACACATTTTCCCACATTTTTGGATCTCTGTGTGTGTGTGTCTCAGTGGCAGCGCCGAGGACGCGGTGTCACCGCCCCTGTGCCAAGGTGTGGGATCTCAGGATCTGAGTCCTGAGATGCTGAGCCTCCGAGACCACCCTTGGGGGGCCCGGGAGTCCTGGAATGTTGCCAGAAGTGTTTGGTGGCAGGACTTTGACCCTACACGGGAGACGACACCTTTATGAAGATAAGAGGACTTCACCGGGGTGAATGGCAAAGAGATTAGCTAATTAGAGGGTGAGACACAGGGTTTAGGATTTATGTACAGGGGGGTTTAGAGGAGTAAGATGGAGGAATTGGGGTGTGTCCTGTCCTNGTTTGGGATCCCTCTGTTCCTCAGGGATTTCCCTCTGATCCCAAGGGGGGTTTCTCTCTTTTAGGGTTTCTCCCCTGTTAATTCTGATCCCCCTGGAAGGCAGCTCCTCCCAGGGAATTCAGACCCGGATTTGGGGTCGGGATTGGGATTTCCCCATGGAAAAAGGGTCTGATCCCCCTGGAAGGATTTCCCTATGGAAAAAGGGTCTGATCCCCATGGGATTTCCCCATGGAAAAAGGGTCTGATCCCCCTGTAGGGAAGCTTCTTTCAGTGGGTTCAGATCCAGATTTGGGATTGGGATTTCCCAATGTTAAAAGGGTCTGATCCTTCTGGAAGGATGCTCCTTTCAGTGGGTTCAGGCCTGGATTTGGGATTGGGATTTCCCCATGGAAAAGGGGTCTGATCCCCATGAAAGTAAGCTCCTCCCAAGGGGTTCAGACCCGGATTTGGGATTGGGATTTCCTCATGGAAAAAGGGTCTGATCCTTCTGGAAGAATGCTCCTTTCAGTGGGTTCAGATCCAGATTTGGGATTGGGATTTCCCTATGGAGAAATGGTCTGATCCCCATGGGATTTCCCCATGTTAAAAGGGTCTGATCCCCCTGTAGGGAAGCTCCTTTCAGGGGGTTCAGACCTGGATTTGGGATTGGGATTTCCCCATGTAAAAAGGGTCTGATTCCCCTGTAAGGCAGCTCCTCCCAGGGAATTCAGACCCGGATTTGGGATTGGGATTGAGATTTCCCCATGGAAAAAGGGTCTGATCCTCCTGGAAGGATTTCCCCATGTTAAAAGGGTCTGATCCCCATGAAAGTAAGCTCCTCCCAAGGGGTTCAGACCCGAATTTGGGATCAAGTTTGGGATTTCCCCATGGAAAAAGGGTCTGATCCCCCTGTAGGGAAGCTCCTTTCAGTGGGTTCAGATCCAGATTTGGGATTGGGATTTCCCCATGGAAAAAGGGTCTGATCCTTCTGGAAGGATGCTCCTTTCAGGGGGTTCAGACCTGGATTTGGGATTGGGATTTCCCCATGGAGAAATGGTCTGATCCCCATGGGATTTCCCCATGGAAAAAGGGTCTGATCCCCCNCCGTGTCCCATCCAGGACCGGGTGCCTCCTGTGTTCCTTCCAGGACCTGATGTCCCTTCCGTGTCGCTCCCGGGACCTGGTGTCCCCTCGGGGACCCCCCCTGTGTCCCCTCCAGGACCGAGTGTCCCTTCCCGAGTGCCCCCGTGTCCTCTCAGGTCTGTCCCGTGTCACTCTCGTTGCCATCTGTCCCTTTGTGTCCCTTTGTCCCATCCAGCGCCGCTCCCGGCGATGTCCCCAGTGCTGCCCGGTCGCTGCCGCTGTCACCGCCCGTGTCCCTCCCTCCGGCCCGGGGCTCTTATCAGCCCCAGGAGGGGTGGCCGGGCTGTGATAAGGGACAGCCGAGGGCAGAGCTGTGGGATGGGGCAGCTTTGGGGTGCCCTATCTGCCCCCACAGCCCCTGGCATTGTCCTGGTGGGGTTTTTGGGGTGGAAGAGCAGCATTTGGGGTGCCCAGTGCTTCCCTCTCCCTGCCACCCTTGGAGAAGGGATTTGGGTGCCAAACTTTGGTGCAGAACTTTTGGCACAGTTTGTATTTCCTGCTCTGCCCGGTTTAATTTCCTGCCCTGCCCGGTTCCTTTTGTGCTCCCGGCCTTCAGGGAGGCTCTGCCCGGGTGTTTGTTGGGATTTGGGTTTTAAACCCTGAATTTGGTGAGAGCTGAAGGCTCTGAACCCCACCTGCCTGCTGGGAGGGAGCACTGCAGACAGCGCTGGTTCCCTGAGGAACCCTTTAAAGGGTTTTTCTTAGGATTTCACCTTTAAACCCTGAATTTGCTGGTGTCTAAGGGCCCCAAACCCCACCTGCCTGCTGGGAGGGAGCACTACAGACACCACTGCAAAACCCTGCAAAGGGTTTTCTTTAGGATTTGGCCTTTAAACCCCAAATTTAGTGGCAGCTAAAGGGCCTAAACCCCACCTGCCTGCTGGGAAGGAGCCTTTCCTGGGACACCATTTCTCACTGGGTTTTCTTTAGGATTTGGCCCTTAAATCCCAAATTTAGTGGCACCTAAACCCCACCTGCTTTTGGGATGTCTTTTCTCACATCTCTTTTCCCTCCCCAGAGCACTACAGACACCACTGGTTTCCTGAGAAACCCTTCAAAGGGCTTTGTTTAGAATTTCACCTTTAAACCCTGAATTTAAGCCCCACCTGCTTTTGGGATATCCTTTCTCACATCTCTTCAAAAGGGTTTTCTTTAGGATTTCACCTTCAAACCCCAAATTTAGTAGTACCCAAGTGCCCTAAACCCTACCTACTTTCAGGATATCCCTGCTCACAGGTGTTTTTCTTTTCCCAGAGCACTACAGACACCATTGAGACAAAAGGGTTTTCTTTAGGATTTTGCCTTCAAACTCCAAATTTAGTGGGAGATAAAGGCTCTAAACCCCACCTACTTTCAGGAAGTCCTTTCTCACAACCATTTTTCCCTCCCCAGAGCACTACAGACACCATTGAGAAAAAAGGGTTTTCCTTAGGATTTTGCCTTCAAACCCCAAATTTAGTGGTGTCTAAACCCCATCTACCTTTGGGATATCCTTTCTCACAGCCGATTTTCTTTTCCCAGAGCACTACAGACACCATTGAGAAAAAAGGGTTTTCCTTAGGATTCTGCCTTCAAACCCCAAATTTAGTGGTACCCAGCGCCCTCACCCCCATTTACTTTTGGGATATCCTTTCTCACATCTCTTTTCCCCTCCCTGGAGCACTACAAACACCATTGAGAAAAAAGGGTTTTCCTTAGGATTTTGCCTTCAAACCCCAAATTGAGTGGTATCTAAACCCCATCTACCTTTGGGATATTTTTTCTCACAGCCATTTTTCTTTTCCCAGAGCACTACAGACACCATTGAGACAAAAGGGTTTTCCTTAGGATTTTGCCTTTAAACCCCAAATTTAGTAGTACCCAAGTGCCCTAAACCCCATTTACTTTTGGGATATCCTTTCTCACAGGTGTTTTTCCTTCCCCAGAGCACTACAAACACCATTAGGAAAAAAGGGTTTTCCTTAGGATTTCGCCTTCAAACCCCAAATTTAGTGGTACCCAAGTGCCCTCACCCCCATTTACTTTTGGGATATCCTTTCTCACCTCTCTTTTCCCCTCCCCAGAGCACTACAGACACCATTGAGAAAAAAGGGTTTTCCTTAGGATTTCACCTTCAAACCCCAAATTTAGTGATATCTAAACCCCATCTACCTTTGGGATATCTTTTCTCACAGCCGATTTTCTTTTCCCAGAGCACTACAGACACCATTTAGAAAAAAGGGTTTTCTTTAGGATTTTGCCTTCAAACCCCAAATTTAGTGGTATCTAAGTGCCCTAAACCCCATCTACCTTTGGGATATCTTTTCTCACAGCCGGTTTTCTTTTCCCAGAGCACTACAGACACCATTAAGAAAAAAGGGTTTTCCTTAGGATTTCACCTTTAAACCCCAAATTTAGTGGGAGATAATGGCTCTGAACCCCACCTACTCTTGAGATGTCTTCTCTGACCTCTCTTTTTTTCCTCCCCCGAGCTGAGAAAAAAGGGTTTTCTTTAGGATTTGGCCTTCAAACCCCAAATTTAGTGGTATCTAAACCCCATCTACCTTTGGGATATCCTTTCTCACAGCCGTTTTTCCCTCCCCAGAGCACTACAGACACCACTGGTTCCCCGAGAAGCCCTCCAAAGGGCATTGTTTAGGATTTCACCTTCAACCCCCAAATTTAGTGGTACCGAAGTGCCCTCACCCCCATTTACTTTTGGGATATCCTTTCTCACAGCTCTTCAAAAGGGTTTTCCTTAGGATTTGGCCTTCAAACCCCAAATTTAGTGGTATCTAAGTGCCCTAAACCCCATCTTCCTTTGGGATATCCTTTCTCACAGCTCTTTTTTCCCCTCCCCAGAGCACTACAAACACCATTGAGAAAAAAGGGTTTTCTTTAGGATTTGGCCTTTAAACCACAAATTTAGTTACAGCTAAAGGCTCTAAACCCCATCTACCTTTGGGATATCCTTTCTGACATCTCTTCAAAAGGGTTTTCCTTAGGATTTGGCCTTCAAACCCCAAATTNTTTTATTTTGTTTCGTTTTTATAGCTAGGGTTTTTATTTTATTGGGTTTTTTTCAGGGGGTTATTTTGGGGGTTTTTGTTGATTTTTTTGTGTTCTTTTTTGGCTTTTTTTAATTTTTGTTTTTATTTTATTTTTATTTTATTTTTATTTTGGTTTTTTTATTTTTATTTTATTTTTTAGGGTTTTTGTTTTATTTTTTAGGGTTTTGGTTTTTTTTTTGCTAGGGTATTTTTTGTTTGGGGTTTATTTTGGGTTTTTTGTGGTTTTTTGGGTTGTAATTTTGGAGTTTTTGTTTTTGGGGTTCTTTTGGGGTTTTTTATTTGTTTTGGCTTTCTTTGGGTTTTGGGTTTTTTTTCAGGGGGTTATTTTGGGGGTTTTGTTGATTTTTTTTTGTGTTCTTTGTTTTTTTTAGTTTGGTTTTTTTGTTTTATTTGGGGTTTTTTTGTTTATGATGGAATTTTATTTTGTTTCGTTTTTGATGCTATTTTTTGTTCAGTATTTTTTTCAGGCTGTTATTTTGGGGGTTTTGTTGATTTTTTTTATTCTTGTTTTTTGTTTTTTTATGGTTTTTTTAGCTTTTTTTTCTTGCTTTTTTTATTTGGGTTTTTTTGTTTTTTGGGTTTTTTTTATTTTTATTTTTATTTTGTTTTCCTCCTTTTTTGGTGCAAACGCTCAGAATCCTGTGAGGATCTGGATCAGCTGTTCCCTGATTTCCAGCACATTTTATCATTTTATCCCCCCAATTTCCAGCCCTTTTTGTTCCTTTAATAAAAACGCAAAAATCTCAACCCAAAATTCTTCGCCTCGTTCCTGGGAGCTCGGGGAAAATTCATTTTCCATCCATTTTTCCCTTATTTTTCCATCCATGTTTCCCTCATTTTTCCGTTCATTTTCCCTCTCATTTTTCCCTTATTTTTACATCCATTTTTCCTTATTTTCCCCTTATTTTTTATCCATTTCCCCCTTATTTTTCCATTCATTTTTCCCTTGTTTTTCCCTTATTTTCCCATCCATTTTCCCATTCATTTTTCCCTTATTTTAACATCCATTTTTCCTTATTTTCCCCTTAGTTTTCCATACGTTTTCCCATTCATTTCCCCCCTATTTTTCCATTCATTTCCCCCTTATTTTTCCATTCATTTTTCCATTCACTTTTCCATTCATTTTTCCCCTATTTTTCCATTCTTTTTTCCCTTGTTTTTCCCTTATTTTTCCATCCATTTTCCCCTTATTTTCCCCTTATTTTCCCATTCATTTTCCCCCTATTTTCCCATTCATTTTCCCCTTATTTTCCCATTCATTTTCCCATTCATGTTTCCCTTATTTTTCCATCCATTTTCCCATTCATTTTCTCCCTTAGTTTTACATCCATTTTTCCTTATTTTCCCCTTATTTTTTTATCCATTTCCCCCTTATTTTTCCATTCATTTTTCCATTCATTTTCCCCTTTTTTCCCATTCATTTCCCCCTTCTTTTCCCATGTATTTTCCCCTTATTTTCCCATCCATTGTCCCCTTATTTTTCCAGCCATTTTCCCCTATTTTTCCATCCACTTTCCCATTCATGTTTCCCTTATTTTTCCATTCATTTTCCCCTTGTTTTTCCCTTATTTTTCCATCCATTTTCCTATCCATTTTTCCATTCATTTTCCCATTAATTTTTCTCTTATTTTTCCATTCATTTCCCTCAGTTTTTCCCTCAGTTTTTCCCCATCCATTTTCCCATCCATTTTTCCCTTATTTTCCCCTTATTTTTCCATTCACGTTCCCCTTATTTTCCCATCCATTTTTCCATCCACTTTTCCATCCATTTCCCCCTATTTTTCCATTCATTTTTTCCCTTGTTTTTCTCTTGTTTTTTCCTTATTT